GCTGCAGGCAGCAGCAGCAAGCCACAGCTAGCTACAGGCAGCAGCAGCAAGCCACAGCTAGCTGCAGGCAGCAGCAGCAAGCCACAGCTAGCTGCAGGCAGCAGCAGCAAGCCACAGCTAGCTACGGGCAGCAGCAGCAAGCCACAGCTAGCTACAGGCAGCAGCAGCAAGCCACAGCTAGCTACAGGCAGCAGCAGCAAGCCATAGCTAGCTACAGGCAGCAGCAGCAAGTCACAGCTAGCTACAGGCAGCAGCAGCAAGCCACAGCTAGCTGCGGTGCCTAGCGAGTGGCCTCTAGCTAGCCACGGCTAGCTCTGGCTTGCTGCAGCTGGTGTGGGCAGCCACGCGCTGCTGCACTGGGGTTTGTCCCGCTGCATGTAATGCTGCTGCTGCTGCTGCTCTTTGCTGTACTGCCTATTCTCTAAGGCTCCCGCCCAGTCAACTAGGGTTTAGGGTTTAGGGTTTAGGGTTTAGGGTTTAGGGTTTGCGGAGCCCTTCGCAAACCCTGAAGGTTCTTAATGAGGCAAAGGTCTGCTGCAGCAGGTGTACGTACACCTCAGGCCCACAGACCCACATTGTTTGTTCCCAACTCCCGCTGCTGCTGCAGCAGCAAGTGCTGCAGCAGCAAGTGCTGCAGCAGCAAGTGCTGCAGCAGCAAGTTCTGCAGCAGCAAGTGCTGCAGCAGCAGGCGCATCAGGCTAGCCACTCAGGCGCAGCTGCTGCAGCGAAGCTTTGCTAGTGCTGCAGCAGCAGCAGCAGCAGCAAGAGTTGCAGAAGCAGGAAACAGCCCCGGCAGCAGCATCTGACGCAGCAGCACCAACTGCTGCAGCGGCAGCTGCTGCTGCTGCTGCTGCAGCAACCAGCAGCACGTGCAACGCCTGAAGACTTAGCGGCGTCCCCTGCCGCGCCCTCTGCCTCTGCTGCTTCTGCTGCTGCCCATTGCGAAGCAGTTTGCTGCTGCAGCAGCACCAGGCTGTGCTGCTGCTGCTGCTGCAGCAGCAGGCCCAAATCCAGGTATCAGCCCGCCAGGCAGACACTGGGGCTGCTGCTGCAGTAGCTGCTGCTGCTGCTGCTGCTGGGGCTGCTGCTGCATTTGGTGGAACATCCCAAAGCCAGAAGCGCTTCCCCCGCCCTGCAGCATCTGCTGCTGCTGCTGCTGCTGCTGCTGCTGCTGCTGGCCAAACATGGGCTGCTGCTGCTGCTGTAGCAAGGGCTGGTGCTGCAGCTGCAGCGCCGGTCGCACAGCCTTCCCGTTCTGCTGCGAGAACTGCGAAAACAGTGGCTGTTGCTGCTGCTGTTGCTGCTGCTGCTGCTGTTGCTGCTGCTGCTGTTGCTGTTGCTGCTGCTGCTGCTGCAGAGGGTCCTTCTTGCGCACAATCCGCAGCACTCTTCGGCTCCCTTTGCTGTCTCCCATTTCTTCATCGAGCCCTTCCGCCGAAGGCCCCCCAGGTGCAGCAGCAGCAGCAGCTGCTGCTGCTGCTGCAGCAGGAGCAGCAGCAGCTGCCAATGCAGCAAAAGCAACAGGCGCAACTGCAGGAGCAGCAGCAGCTGCTGTAGGAGCAGCAGCAGCTGCTGCAGGAGCAGCACCTGGCGTGGAAGCCGCAGGAACGGAGAACAGCGGCCTTGCTGCAGCAGGTTCTGCTGCTGTTGCTGCTGCTGCTGCTGCTGCTGCTGCTGCACGAGGTGCTGCCACGATAGGCGAGAAGCCACCAGCGCTGGAGAATCCGAGGTTAAGCTTCTGCTGCTGCTGCTGCTGCTGAATATTCTCCTGATCTTGCTGCTGCTGCTGCTGCTGTTGCTCCTGCTGCTGCTGCTGCTGTTGCTGCTGTTGCTGCTGTTGCTGCTGCTGCTTTTGCTGCTGCAGCCCCTCTTGCTCTTGCTGCTGCTGTTGCTGCTGCAGCCTCTCTTGCTCTTGCTGCTGCTGTTGCTGCTGCAGCCTCTCTTGCTCTTGCTGCTGCTGTTGCTGCTGCAGCCTCTCCTGCTCTTGCTGCTGCTGCTTGCGTCTCTCTTCCTCTTGCTGCTGCTGCAGCTGCCTTTCTTTTTCTTCGCGTTCCCTTCGCTGCTTCTCCAGCTGCTGCTGCAGCAGCAGCTGCTGCTGCTGCTGCTGCTGCCGCAGCAGCTTTGTCTCCTCCACAGACAACGCAGGGGCCCCCAAAGAAGGCAGCACTTCGTTTGTGTCTGCATAAGACTGACACAGCAGCAGCAGCCTTGCTGCAGCAGCAGCAGCAGCAAGAGCCCCCCCTCCGTGGCTGCGCCGCCGCTGCCTCTTTATAGGAGAGAGCTCAGAAGGGCTGCTGCCTGCTGCTGCTGCTGCTGCTGCTGCTGCTGCGGGAGATGCTGCTGCTGCTGCTGCTGCTGCTGCTGCTGCTGCGGGAGATGCTGCTGCTGCTGCGGCGGCTGCCGCTTCAACCGCTGCTGGGGCCGTTTCACTCTCTGCTGCTGCTTCTGCTGCTGTTGCTGCTGCTGCTGCTGTTGCTGCTGCTGCTGCTGCACGGGGACAGACACCCGAGTCATCTGTGCCTCTTCGGCGCTTGCGCGTAGAAGCAGAAGACGACGCTTCAGCAGCAGCAGCAGCAGCAGCAGCAGCTGCTGCTGCTGCTGCTGCTGCTGGAGCAGATGATGCTCGTTCTGGGGTGCGGATCGCATCCTCCCCTGCTGCTGCTGCTGCTGCTGCTGCTGCTGCTGCTGCGCCTGCAGGCTCCTTATTAGCTGCTTCCTCTGAAAGGGTGGCGCTGTTGCTGCAGTCGTTGCTGCTTGTGCTGCTGCTACTGCATTTCTCGCTGTTAGAGCTGCTGCTGCTACCGCACGTGCTGCTGATTTTGCTGCTGCTGCTGCTGCTGCTGCTGCTGCTGCTGCTGCTGCTGCTGCAATCGCCCTTGCTGCTTCCATCCCCGCCGCAAGCAGAAGGCCCCTCTGTCTTTCTTGTCTTCGTCCTTCCCTCAGTCGTGAGCGCCGCTTCACCTTGCTGCTGCTGCTGCTGCTGCTGCTGCTGCTGCTGCTGCTGCTGCGCCTCGCAGGGCCTTCGCGGCAGCAGCAGCGAACTGCGGGGGCCCGACAAAGGGAAAAGCAGCCCCAAAGAAGACCTGCGCCGCCTTTGCTGCTGCAGCGAGAGAGCAGCAGGAGAGCAGTATGCCATTCCCAGCTGCAGCGCGCTGCTGCTGCTGCTGCTGCTGCTGCTGCTGCTGCTGCTGCTGCTGCTGCTGCTGTCGCGCGTAGCGGATGGGCTCCACACGACGCAAGGCATTTCTTCGTCCGCCAGCGACTCCTCAGCATCTGCACTGTCTGCTGCAGCCGCACTTGCTGCTGCTGCTGCTGCTGCTGCTGTTGCTGCTGTTGCTGCTGCTGCTGCTGCATGCAGCTGCGGCCGCAGCGGGGAAGAGTGGGGGGTGACAAACAGCATTTCAGTTTCAGGTGTATGTACACCTGCTGCCTCTGCATGCGCCGCCCCGACGCGTCTCCTTTTGCAGCAGTCAGCCTCTGCTGCTGCTGCTGCTGCTGCTGCAGTTGCTGCTGCTGCTTCTGCTGCTGCCACATCTGCTGCAGCTCCCGCTGCTGCTGCCCCCAAAGGCGAGCCAACAGCAGCAGCAGCAGCAGCAGCAGGCGCGTACACTGGAGTGCTGCGCCACTGCAGCAGCCCCATGGGGCTTGTTGACCGTCGCCGCGTGCGGGGCCGCTCAGCTGCTGCTGCTGCAGTTGCTGCTGCTGCTGCAGTTGCTGCTGCTGCTGCAGTGGCTGCTGCTGCAGTTGCTGCTGCGGAAGGCAGCAGCACGGATGACTGGGACCCGCTGGGAGAGGGATACACTGGTGACAGAGCATTTGCTCGAAACCCCAACTGCTGCTGCTGCTGCTGCTGCTGCTGCTGCTGCTGCTGCTGCTGCTGCTGCCTTAATCCATAGAGATCCGGCTGCGTGCTGCTTCTGCGGGGGAGCGGCCGCGTGCGAAAGCGGCACGCTGTTGGCGTTACTGCTGCTGCTGCTGCTGCTGCTGTTGCTGCTGCTGCTGCTGCTGCTGCTGAAGGTTCTGGCTGACTGAACACTCGCATGCTGAAGGGCGAAGCGTGCTGCTGCTGCTGCTGCTGCTGCTGCGACGCTGCTGCTGCTGCTGTTGCAGAAGCAGAAAACGAGCAGCAAGAGCAGCAGCTTCTGCGACGGGGCAAGCGCCGCCCTTGCTCCTCAGCTGCTGCTGCTGCTGCTGCTGCTGCTGCTGGTGTTGCTGCTGCGGGCTGGGACAAAGACACAGTAAACCCCATCGACTGTCTGCTGCTGCTGCGCTGCAGCTGCTGCTGCAGCACAGAACTGCCCCCCGGGAGGCCCCTTCTGGGGCTCCACAGGGGGCCCTCTGGCAGGGGGGCCCCCTGGGGGGCCCCCCTAAGAGTGTCTTCTTGCTGCTGCTGCTGCTGCTGCTGCTGCTGCTGCTCTGCTGCATCTCCGAGGGCTGGGGGAGTCCCTTTATAATACATGAGGGCCGAGGGGCAGCAGCAAGAAGCCTCAGCAGCAAACAGCAGCTGCTGCTGCGACGAGGGACTGGCCAGCCACGGGGCCTCTGCTGCTGCTGCTGCTGCTGCTGCTGCTGCTGCTGCGGGGGCCGCTTCCACGCTGGCTGCAGCCAAAGGCCATGGACTCGCGCGATTCTCGGCGCAAGCAGCAGCAGCAGGAGAAGCAGCAGCAGCAGCAGCAGCAGCAGCAGCTGCTGCTGCTGCTGCATCAGAGCTCACGCGCCGGTGCTTCCTTCCATCTTCCAGCCGCCTCTGGGACTGCTGCTTCCGCTGCTGCTGCTGCTGCTGCTGCTGCTGCTGCTGCGTAGGCTTTGCTGCAAATATCTGTCTTAGGGATTTCTGCAGCCGACTGACTAACTGAAAAGGGCCCCCCGACGGCCTTGCTGCCCCTCGCTTACGCTGCTGCTGCTGCTGCTGCTGCTGCTGCTGCTGCTGCTGCTTCTGCTGCTGCTGCTTGGAGCTTGAAGGGCTAAGGGGGGCCCCCAAAGGCCCCTCTACATTCTCTTTGTCGAGCCACAGGGGGTCTTCTGCTGCGGCTTCCATTTTGTGCTGCAGCTGCAGAAAGAAAGAGACTCACTTTTGCTGCTGCTGCTGCTGCTGCTGCTGCTGTTGCTGCTGCTGCTGCTGTGCGACCCTAGCAGCAGGGGCAACGGCTGTCTCTGCTGCGCAGCAGCAGCTGCGGCTGCGCTGCGCTGCAAGTCCTGCAGCAGCAGCCCTTAAATCGCTGCGGCTGCTGCTGCTGCTGCAGCTGCTGCTGCTGCAGGGCCTTTGGCAGCGGAGCCACAGACCGTCTCTTCGGCACAGCAGCAGCAGCAGCAGCTGCTGCTGCAGCAGCTGCTGCTGCTGTGGGGCACAGCAGCAGCTGCTGCTGCAGCGCCCCTAGCAGCAGGAGCAGTGACTGCGTCCTCGGCTCAGCAGATGCTGCTGCATTGCTTGTCACCTAGGGGGAAGAACTGGCTGCTGCTGCTGCTGCAGTCATTTGCCAGTCTTTGCTGCTGCCTGTGCTGCTGCTGCTGCTGTCGACGGCTCCGCGCTTTCTCCCTGTGTCTCCGCTGCTGCAGTGCCTCTTTGGGGGAAGGCCTGCTGCAGTGCTGCTGCTGCTGCTGCTGCTGCTCCTGCAGCAGCAGCAGCAGCAAAGGCGGGAGAGCGCTGTCTGCGGCGGGACCCGCAGCCGCATGTCCCCAGAGGTGTCTGCTGCTCTTTTTGGACTTTGTTTGTTTAATAAGCAAATAAATTAATTAAAACTGTTTAATTGAACTAAAATAGATTTACTAGAGGGAGAAATGGGGAAAAACGGCGGGGTTTGCTGCTGCAGCTCTTGCTGCTGCGCCGCAGACCAGTCGCGCCTGGGGCTGCTTCTCTCTTGTCTCTTTGGCGTTTCTCGGCGCATTTATTCGATTAAAACAAATAATTAATTAAATAAATATAAAAAAGAACCTTTTTGTTCAAAAAAAACACAAAATTAAACAAATGCTCTCTTCTTTTGCAGCTTTCTGCTGCCGCCGCCCGGCCCACCAGCACTCGGGTGTATGGACAGCTCCCTCTTTGTCTGCCTTTTCTCTCCACTTTCTTCTATTCATTAATTCTTTGACTTAATTTCACTTTTATAATTTTTAATTCTTTAATTTCTGCCAAACTTTCCGGGAAACTGGCCCGGTAGCTGCTGTCCGCCGCCACGCCGCCGCTACTGTATCTTTCTGCAGCAGCAGCAGCAGCAGCAGCAGCAGCAGCAGCAGGGCATGCGCTGCGGTCCAGCTAGCCGCAGCTAGCCATGGCTTGCTGTAGCTAGCTGCTAGCCCGTAGGCTATCTAGCTCGCTTCAACTACTCATGAACTCTAGCTAGCTAGCCAGCTAGCTAACTAACTAGCCTTCTGGCTAGCCAACTGACTAGCCAGCCAGCTAGCTAGCTAACTAGCTGGCTAGCTAGCCAACTAGCAGCCTATCTAGCTAGCCGGCTAACTAATTAACTAACTAGCTGGTTAGCTAGCCAACTAGCTAGCTAGCTAGCCAGCTAGCTAACTAATTAACTAATTAACTAACTAGCCAGCTAGCTAGCTAGCTAGTCAACTAGCCAATTAGCTAGCAAGCTAGCTAGCTAGCAAGCTAGCTAGCTAGCTAGCTTGCTAGCTAGCTTGCTAGCTAGCTAGCTAGCTACCTCTTATGCCCACTCCACTATCCCAGAGACCCTAGAGGGCCCCTTGGGAGCCCCTCAGAGGCCCCTAGGGGGCCCCTTGGGGGCCCTGAGAGGTACCCCTGGGGGCCCCTTGGGGGCCCCTTGGGGGCCCCTTGGGGGCCCCTTGGGGGCCCCCTTGGGGGCCCCCTGGAGGCCCCTTGGGGGCCCCCTGGGGGTCCCTTGGGGGGCCCCCTTGGATTATTTGCGAGGGGGCCCCTGGGGCTACTCTGGGGGGCCCCTAGGGGCCCCTTGGGGGCCCTCAGCGCTGTGGCTAAGTGCTGCAGAGGGGGTAGCTAGCCAAGACCCTAAACCCTAAACCCTAAACCCTAAACCCTAAACCCTAAACCCTAAACCCTAAACCCTTGAGCCTCAGGGGGCCCCCAGCCAAGAGGAAGAAGAGAAAAGGGAGCCAAAGAGAGACACAAAAAAGGAGATTAAAAGTCAAAACAATAAAAGAAATAAAAAGGAATAAAAAGAAATAAAAAGAAATAAAAAGAAATAAAAAGAAATAAAAAGAAATAAAAAGAAATAAAAAGACAAAAGAAGAAAAAGAAATAAAAGGAAGCAAAAAGAAACAGCAGCAAAAGGCCTTTTGGCTTAGAAAAGTCAATTTGCTGTTGGGGGCTGCTGCTGCAGCAGCTGCAGCAGCAGCTGCAGCAGCAGCTGCAGCAGCAGCATGCATGCGAAGCAAAAGAGAACAAAGAAACTAAATAATCAGGTGGAGAGACACCTGGTCTCCCCACTGCTGCTGCTGCTGCTGCTGCTGCTGCTGCTGCTGCTGCTGCTGCTGCTGCTGCTGCTGTTTATGCCAAGCCCGGAGGCGGGGAGTCCGCCTCGGTGGCACAGGCCAGCTCTCGCTGCTTCACCTCGGCCCTGCGGGCCCCGCTGCTGCTGCTGCTGCTGCTGCTGCTGCTGCTGGCAGCAGCAGCAGCAGCAGCAGCAGCAGCAGCATGTCGCTGCAGCGCCTGAGCGGCCTGCGGCGCAGCCAGATCCTGCTGCGCTGCTGCTGCGGCGTCTGCTTCCCCGCCGCCGCTGCTGCCGCCACCGCCGCCGCCGCTGCTGCCGCTGCTGCTGCTGCTGCTGCTGCTGCTGCTGCTGCTGCTGTGTCTCCTGCTGCGGGAAATGGAACTCAAAGCGGGAGAAAGTTCTCTTGTCTTTTGATGAACTGCTTCGAGGCCCTGCAGCCTGGAGCGTCTGGACAGCCGCTGCAGCAGCCACTGCCGCCTGCAGGAGTCTTGTGCGGAGCCTGCTGCTGCTGCTGCTGCTGCTGCTGCTGCTGCTGCTGCTGCTGTGAGGCCCGCCAGCGGCAGCGGCGACACTTCCGACGGACGGCTGAAAGGCAGGCCCCCCCGCTGCTGCTGCTGCTGCTGCTGCTGCTGCTGCGGGTTGCTGCTGCTGGCTGCGTCGGGGCCCGACACGGCGCTGGGGCTGCGCGCGCTGCTGCCGCCGCTGCTGCTGCTGCTGCTGCTGCTGCTGCTGCTGGTTTGCTGCTCGCTTTTGCTTCCTCGGGATGAAGACACAGGGGGATAGTTGTAAAGAGGAAAAGGAGACACAAAACATTTGGGATCAGCAGCAGCAAGTGCTGCTAGTTCTTGTGGGATCCGATCCCGGAAGGGGGGTGGCAGGGGGCCCCGGATGTGGGGCCCCTTCGCTGCTGCTGCTGCTGCTGCTGCTGCTGCTGCTGCGCCCGTTGCTGCTGCAGCCGCAGCGACAGCCCCGCCTTCCTGCTGCTGCAGCAGCTCCTGCTGCCGCCGCAGGCTCTCTTGCTCCTGCTGCAGCTGGTCCAGCTGCTGCTGCAGCTGCTGCAGCTGCCGCTGCTGCTTGTGTCTTGCTGCTGCTGCATCCAGCGGCTCCATGCCGCC